GCCCCGCAGCACCGACAAAGCCCGCGAGCGCGCCGCCGCCCCCCGCGCCCGCCGCGAGCGCCGCGTCCTGCTCCTTGCTGCGGCCGTAGCAGATCCGCACGCCGGCCGCCTGGCCGGGCGGCGCGGCGCCCTGGCACGCCTGCATCGCGCGGCCGGCGTCGGCGACGGATCTGAACTCGACAAAGGCGAAGCCGCGCGGCTGCCGCGTGTACTTGTCGCGCACGAGGCGGCAGTCTACCACGGGCGCGACTGCGTAGAACAGCTGCAGCAGCTCCGACTCCCTTTGAGGCGGCGGAGGGAGAAGGGGCAGCGGCGCGGCGCGCGGCGCTCATGATGAAGCGGTGCGGCGAGGCGGATCCGGGGCCGACGGCTGACGACGACGGGTGGGGGTGGGTGGCGGAGGTGGTGGTCCGGCTGGGGCGGCGGCAGCGAAGCGGAATGCGACGAGGGCGCAGCACGCGCGCAGGGGGGCCCGCGGGCTGTCGCGGTGCGCGCTCACCCCGTTGAGGGCTCTAGGCCCGCCACTTTCAGGACGGGCGAGGGCTCGTTGGGGTTGATGTCCACCAGCCGCGCGTTGGCGGGGCGCGCGGTGTGGCAGTGGTAGCACTCAAAGCGGCGGGCGAAGTTCATGGCTGGGGGTCGGGCGGGGCGGGTGCAGGGCGTGCAAGGGGTCCAGATTTTGAGCGCGTGTTGACGAGGGCAGCACCGTTCCAAGGGGCAGAAGGGTCGAGCGGGGGATGAGCAGCGGGTTTGCCTGGTGCCACTTGGAACCACACCATGAGGCCACCACTATCACGAACAGAATGAGCCAAGCAGCAGCAGCGGCGTGGCAAAACATGTGATCCTGCGCAAGGTGAAGATTTAACTGGAAAAACATATGCGATGCTACGCCCGGGCGCCCCACGGCGCCCACCGTTGCACATGTCGCAGACCCAGTCCTGGGCGGGCCCTTGCTGCCGCTGCTGCTGCTGTTCACCGCCCCCGCCGCTGCCGCCGCCCCAGGCAGGCGGCCCCGGCAGGGCGTCGTACTCGAGCCTCAGCCGCTGGCCGCCCACAAAGATGCTGCTGCGCGCGTCCGTCTCCATCAGAGCCTGTTGGGTTTGCACATACAGGAGAAGGAGCAGGGGGTGCTGTCGGCCGTGCGCCTGTCACATGCCGCAGGCGCCATCGGAGCTTGCTGCGCAAGTAACGCGCGCGTTGGAGGCCGCGCGTTGGAGGCCGTGCGCCAGCCGCGAAGCCGCGGCGGCCGGCCTGGCCCCTGTGCAGGCACTCCGCATATACGCGTTCCCCGCCTGGACAGAGCCCGCGTCGTGCGCGCACATGCGCTCACGCTTGCGCCGCGCCACCCACCACGGCGTCGTCCGCAGATTTGAAAACCAGCCGCGCCATGCCGCGAGACGCGCCCGTCGCGCGGTCTCGGACCACAGTGATGGACTCGACGCCACCAAACCCCTCGAACGCTGTGGCGGGACATGCGTGTGTATGTGTGTGTGTGGGGGGGGGGTACAGTGTGTGTATGCGCGTCCATGTGTTTGGCATGTGTGTGTGTGTGTGTGACAGAAAGCGCGTGCGAGAGAGAGAGAGAGAGAGTGTGTGTGTGTGTGTGTGTGTCTGTGTGTGGTGGGGGGAAGGGCAGACGACGCTCGCACTCGCCACCTAGCCATCAACCCAAGCAGGAGGGGCGGGCGCCGGTCTGGGCGCCGGCTGCGCCGCTGGGAGTGAGTGGGGCGCTCACTCCCGGCGAGCGGCCAAAAAAGAAACAGGAGTTCACCTCTGTAGAGGTCGGCTTCCTCCGCATCCTCGGGTATGCCCTGCAGGGAGAGGCCAGCATTCCAACAGTGGCCAGGGTGAGGCAGATGACTCGGCCACCGGCACTGGGAGCCGAGCGGACGCCGCGGCAGATGCATCATATGGCGTTCCTGGCAGCGTGCGCCCGAGGCCGGGCGCTTTGACCCATGCAAGCCGCCGCGGCGCTGAGCGGCGCGGCGTGCAGGCCCTGCTGCCCCGATCCTAAATCAGCGTGCCCCTCGTGCGCACACCTTGATGAAAACGGCGCTGCAGGGCTGCGGCCCGCCGGGCGGCCGGTGGAACCTCCGCTCGCGCTCGTCTGCAGCAGAAAACCCGAGCCCGGAGCGGCCGAAGGCGCCGCCGCCGGGCGCGGCGCGGTGCGAGAGGTCCCCGTCCAGGCCGGCCTCGAGGGCGGCTGCGTACTGCGAGTGGCGGGAGCCGCCTGCGGAGGGGGCGGGCG